TGACATCTCATTGGCAGCACTGTGTGACACAGCCATTCCCAAATGCAAAGATGACTAAGAAATCAAGTAGAGTATTTAATTTTCTTATGTCTATAATAGCATGAGAAAAGGAAGAAGAGGTGTTATGCAAGCCAACCTATTGTGCATGCCACACCAGGGAACAGTTAAATCAGCAGGTATATCTTCTACTACTATTTTTAAGCATACATTTTTATTATTTTTATTTATTTATTTTTATTTTTTTCCAGGAAGGCTGAGTGGGAGTGAGGGGTAGGGAAGGACTGACCACTGAGAAAGCGAGGGGAGCACCTTAAGCATACATTTTAGATTGAATAGAATAAATCCGAAATTTCAAAGATATGAGATCTGAATGAAATTTTTTTTTTTGTCTTTTGAATCGTACTCAAGGAATATCTCATCTGACCTTCACTGTAAAATATGATCAATAAAAACTATAGATACAATAAAATTAAATAAGACCCAGAGGGGGGAGGAGGGGATGGGTATATACAAACACAATGAGTGAGATGTACAACATTTGGGGGATGGTCATGCTTGAAGCTCTGACTGACTCAAGAGGGAAGGGGGGGCATAGGTAATATACATAACCTTAACACTTGTACCCCCATAATATGCTAAAATTATTTAAAAAAAAAAAAAAGACCCAAAGCTTCTTACCCATTTTAAAACTTTCCTGGGTCTTCCTCTTAGGCCCCACTTAAGAACCTCTGGTACTCTCAAGGGTTCTGTCCTTGGCATTCTCCTTTTCTGGTCTACCCTCCTTCATCCTACAGCTTAATATACCTTCTGCATATTGATGATTCAGAATATTTTTATTTCCAGCCCAAATCTTTCTTCTGCCTTAGACCCATATTCCAGTTACATGCTGCATATGTCTACCTGTGTCCTAAACATAATAATCTTATAGTGGGCCGGGCACGGTGGCTCACGCCTGTAATCCTAGCACTCTGGGAGGCCGAGGCGGGTGGATTGCTCAAGATCAGGAGTTCGAAACTACCCTGAGCAAGAGCAAGACCCCGTCTCTACTATAAATAGAAAGAAATTAATTGGCCAACTAATATATATAGAAAAAATTAGCTGGGCATGGTGGCGCATGCCTGTAGTCCCAGCTACTCGGGAGGCTGAGGCAGGAGGATTGCTTGAGCCCAGGAGTTTGAGGTTGCTGTGAGCTAGGCTAACACCACGGCACTTACTCTAGCCTGGGCAACAAAGCGAGACTCTGTCTAAAAAAAAAAAAAAAAAAATCTTAGTGTAGGAAACAGACTCTATTCTTAGCTTACTGAAACCTGTTCATCTTCCTGTATTTTTTATTTCATCATGACAGCACCTGATTTCCCAAGTTTGAAGTCTTTTTTTTGAGACAGAGTCTTGCTTTGTTGCCCAGGCTAGAGTGAGTGCCATGGCGTCAGCCTAGCTCACAGCAACCTCAAGCTCCTGGGCTCAAGCAATCCTACTGCCTCAGCCTCCTGAGTAGCTGAGACTACAGGCATGCGCCACCATACCCGGCTAATTTTTTCTATATATATTAGTTGGCAAATTAATTTCTTTCTATTTATAGTAGAGAAGGGGTCTTGCTCTTGCTCAGGCTGGTTTCGAACTCCTGACCTCGAGCAATCCGCCTGCCTCGGCCTCCCAGAGTGCTAGGATTACAGGCGTGAGCCACCAAGCCTGGCCTGAAATCATTTATAACATTACCCTTTCCTCACTGCAGTTTCACCAAATCCTTTTGATTTTACTATTAAACAAACTCTCAATTCCACCCTCTTCCCCCTATCCCCACTGCCATCTACTTCAGGTCCACATCATCTTTCATCCAGACTACCACAACTCCTTTAAATTCATTTTTTCGTCATTATTTCTTTCCAGTCCATCCTCTGTGTGTCTACAAATCAACTCAAAGAACAAATATAATCTGTATAACAATGTCCATTTGCTCTTAAATACCTGAAGGATAAGTCTTTCCCATGGTTGCAGACTCATTTTCCATGATTTTTCCTGTTTCCCCTTCTTCCCTCATATACCTTATACCCTAGATATACTCACCATTCTGTACCTGTCAGACACTTCTGGGTCTTGTTATTATTATTTGCACAAGCTGTTCCTTCTGTTTATATGTCCTCAATAAACTCCCTTCTTTATAAATAAATTCTTATCCTTTTTAGAAGACCTAGCTCAAATATCACCATCTCTGTGACACTCTCCTTATTTCCATAGATCAGAAGTTCCCTCCTCTGGGTTTACATTGCTGTTAAATTTCTGTTCATGTTGTATTATATGTTTCCATCACCTCATCTGTATACATGCAACATACAGGCATAGAGGAGGTACTGTATAAATGTGAATAAATCCATTTCTAATAAAATCAGGCTTAGTTTCCTATTTATATATTTAAGGAAAGATGGAACAATTATATTACAAAATGTTTTAGTATCTTGAAATGATTAAAAAATTAAATGATTAAAAAATGATATCTTGGAAATCAACCATATTGCTGGTGAGATTGTAGACTGGTATGACCACTAAGGAGGAAAATTTGTCAATATCTACCAAAATTTAAAAATGTACATACTCTTTTACTGGGCAATTCTCCATCTAAGAATTTATTCTACACTTACACATTTGGGTAAAAACTACTTACAAAGGTATTCATTGCAGAACTGGTTGTAAGAACAAAATAGCTGAAATAACTTAAATGTCTCTCAAAAGGGACTGATTAACTATAGTGCATATAGATAGATAATGGAATGCTATATAACTATTTAAAAAATAAAGGTCTATATTTATTTGCTGCAATCTACAAAATACTTTGTGAAGTGAATAAAGAAAGAAAAAGAAGAATGTGCATGATATGCTGACATTAGTGTTTTTTAAAAAGGGAAGATTGTTGGGGGATGATTTTGGTGTTATATGTTATATTAATTATTTATTACAGTTTGTAATGTATGTGATAATCAAGCCATGTCAGAAGATATCCTATATATGCTTATATATGCATTACAATGCCTCTGAAGAAATGCATGAGATACTGCTTATAGTGGCTGCCTATACAGAGGACATGTGGGACCTGGGGTCAGCACAGGAAGACTTATTTCTAATTAAATATGTTATTGTATCTTTTAAATTTTGCATCATGTACATATAATAGTTATATAAATAAATAAGGGTAACAAAACTTTACTAATAAAATGTCAATTGATTTCATAAAATTTTATAATTAAGAATTAGAATACCTTTAACAAAAATATTGAATCATTTTTGTTAATAGATTTTTTTTTATGCAGGGGGAAGTCTGCAGAAACTGTTCAGTCATTCAAACAATTATTCAGTAATCATTAGGTGCTAAGGATGCAAACATAGGAAGATATATATGACTCAGAGCTCACAATCTACAGGGAGAATGAACATGTATTCACATAATCTCAACATAAAGAGTTATTTCTCACTTAAAGCTTCTGTAATAGCAACTGAGTATGAACCCAATATTACAGAGACTGCCTTCTGCGTTGCAGCAGCAAAAATGACAGCTCAACAAGAAAAAGGTAGGGAGTTGTGACCATGACTTAATGTAAGCAGCAGGTAAAAGTAAGATGACAGAGCAATGGGTAGGCCAGGCTCTCGCCAAGTGATAGTGCTGAAGAAAGAACTGTAACTTAACAAGTAATGGCACTAGAATTATCCAGCATGATTTTAAATAACTGACAGTATTATATAATAAAGCAAGAACAAAAGAAGGTGTGAAAGATTGTGCAAATATTTTATATAGAAATTACTGATAAACCCAAATATTCCCACACTCTGCGTTTCTTTTAAAAAAATAATAAGCTCTTATTTTAGCAATTACATAAGATATGACATTTATGGTAGCTGAGGATGAGAAGCAATCAGTGGCTTTTGCAATCATGTTAGAAGTTAAAGTGATGAAGCATTTAATATATGTTCCTAATTTCTTCGTGTACTTTTCAAATATTATTCCTATTACAGAGTAAAATATAAATAAGATAATGGTATTTATCACCTTGACAACATCTTTTCATTTGGAGATCTCAAACCACTTGCAGACACTCACAAATTCCCAGTATCACAGTCAGAAGTAAACTGGGGTACAGAGAAGGTCAACAGCTCAAGGTCAATTGATAGATCAACAACAGATTTGGAAAAAGATATATCAATCTGGTCTTGCTCCTAGTTCTGAGTTATAAGTCATATCCACATTAGAAAATGTTTTTTCTCTTAAAATGGTCTGTAAGAGTTATCTTTGATGTTAAATAACAAATGATTAAATACAATTCAATAAATATAAAATGAGCTTAAAAATGAAGAAATAGAACTTGGCTGACTTAGTTTCAATAAAGAGTCTAGTATCATTTGTTAGAAGAGATTAAGAAAAAGCATTACTAAATTCTAGGGTTGGGAGGATCTATGTTGTCTATATTTTCTCACAAACTGTTCAATTTTTCTATGAACTAAATTACTATCTTTAATTTTTTTTTAGTCTTTATACAATCTTCTCTGCAATGCAGGTATTTTAATTAATGGAACAAATGCATTATTGAACATCAATGAAATAACCAAAATCATAATTAGGCATGCAGTACAGTATATTATAAATAATTATTATTCTTACATGGCAACAGAACCCTCTACATTGTATAGGGAATTGAAGATTATAATAAACTCATATAGTATCATAGTACTTAATGATTATTTATCACAAAAATACCATGCAAAAAGGAAAATTTAAGTGTTAAGCACTACATTAAAGCCTGCAGCACTCTTTAGAAATTTAACTTCTAGATTTTACTCTATTAAAAAGCTGTTACTTCCTGATATTAGTTTTGATTTATTTTAGAACAAGAATCATTAGTTCCAAGCAGATTTTTGTAAGATTTGAAAATCTTTTTAAAATTTAAATGAAGCCTTGAATATTACATTCTGAATTTCAATCAGTGAAACCAACGGTTTTCTTCCTAAATGCCTACCTGCGCATTGGCTTTCCTTCCATGCACCATGAAAAGTTCCCTTCACAACACTCTAAAGCCGGACCTAAGACAACAGAAAAGCAGTAACTTTATAAAAGCTATTTCTGATCTATTCAACAACAATATATATAGTCAGTTCACGCATTTCGTCAGTTATCAAGAATTTTATATCCTATTATACCACAGGCCTTTTGCAGATGCACAATCATAACTGAATCTAGTACCTTTAAGATGACAATCTTACTCTGCATGCTAAAATGATTATATGTGAAAGTGAGGGAAAGTGCGCTAAGTAGTCCCAATTGCTAAGTCAGTCTTGCCTCTCTCCAAAAAGTGCTTGGAGATATTTAACTTTCACATCACCATCAAGTATGTCTACAGAACAATCACCAGATACCCACCAGATATCACAGGAGTACCAATCTGCTAGATCGACTAGGGAATACGCGGGTTTAACAACGGATCTGATGGCTGTTAACTTGTCCAAAAGTGACGGGAGCAGGAGGCATCTGCCTTTAAAACCAAACAACTCCACTTCCAACAACCTGGGTAGCTTGAACAGGGCAGGGGAAGCATGGCTCTGGACTAACACTCTTTACAAGCCCTTTCCTTAGTCCCCGAAACAATGTTCACTACTCACTTCGACAGGATCTTGCCAGGTTCTAGGGGTTAAGTGGGACATACAGTACTTCCTTCTTTCCCCCAATTCCAAACATTGGGAAAGCTGTCCAGGGTGCGGAACCCCAGCACCCCCAGGCAGGACAGCCCAGCGCCTCCCCTGGCTCCGGGATAGGACTGTCAGCCAGCGAAGGCGCGCAGTCTGGCGCCCCTCGAGGCCCGGCCCCTGTACCCCAACAGTCTCTTTTCAGCGCCGACTGACAGGCAACCGACGAAGCACTGCCCCGAACCCACCGAGCAGCTCGGCAACTTGGGACCACAGATTTGCAAAGCGAGCCTAGGGGCGCTGCTCTACGTCGGCTCACTTACCGGCTCTGACACTTTCTTCTCTGCCGCAGCCTCCTCTACCTCCTCCGCCCTCCTCTCCTCTGCCTCCTCCTCCACCACCCCTAGCGCAGGCAGGATGCCGCTCCTAGAGCTATTTCCTTTCCCTTCACCCGCCCCCGTCCAGAAGCAGGAAGTAGTCCTATTCGTAAATCGTTCCCGCTGGAACCCACATATTCCGCCAAGAGGTTCCGGTGCAGCTCCGGAAGTAGCCTCGCCCTTTGCTGGGGGTTTGGATAACGTCAAAGACTTCCCTGTTCCTTGTTTCCTGTTCTTAGTACCGGGAGTGTGATCGCTTTGAGAGTTCACTCCTGAATTGGCAGTATTTGAATACTGTAGCCTTCTCTTTTCTGTTTTACCCAGCAAAGGCAATACAAAGATAGGAGTAGTCACAGAAAACTAGGAATTTTGATTTATCTGTAGCTGCTAGATCTCCATTCGGCAAAATGTTGTTTCTAATTGTGGAATGAATTATGGATGCATGCACACATGGGGTCGACTTATATCTATTGGGTCTCTATTATGTGCAAGGTGCTGAGAGGATACACAGACAAACCAGAAATCGAGCTGACTTTTCAGATTTCCCACAGTCCAGCTTTCAAGACACCAGGGTCTTATCCAGGATTCTAAGGCTGTACCAGCTTGCCCTTTCTACTTAGTATTCACCCCCAAACACTTCATCAAACATTTCTGTGGACTGTCTGTGGTATGGGAGGGTGAGGGGGTGGACAGAGTGTATTTTTCAACTTATCTTTTGCTCCAGATTGTGCCATAGCACACAGCCACCTGATTTTTACTATATATTTAGAAAAGAAACAAGTGATACACGTGTATAGTGAGGGTTACAATCTCAGGAATATCAATGAAAGACTGTTGCTGATTTCTTGATAACTAAACTAGACTAAGCATTAATTTAACCAGATTTTCTTTAGCTATTCTTTACATAGAATTCACACAGTTGTGTCCAGTTGTTTCTGAAGGGCAAGGATAATTCTTGTTAATTAGCTTGTAGTAGAAACTGCATCCCCTTTAGATCCAGACACCCATAGGTTCAAATCTTAGTCTTGTGACTAAACTAGCTTTGTGGTCTTGGTCAAATTTTTGCTGCATGTATACATGTGATATGTACACATGCAGTAAAATTTTTTTTCCACATTTTAAAACTTTACATAAATGGTTTAAAAAATTTATGCCTTTTTTGGCAAATTGTTTTTCCAGTCAATGTTCTATTTTGAAGATTTGTCAATGTTGATCAATGAACATCCAATTCAGTGATTCTTAAAGTGTGGTCCTAGACCGGCAGTGTCAATGTCAGTATCAGTTGGGAAATGCGAATCCTTGGGCCCTACCACAGACCCATTGAACCAGGAGCTGTGGTGTTAGGGTCCAGTAATCTGTGTTCAAATAAGTTCTCCAGTGATTACAATGCTCATTAAAGTTTGAGAACCACTGTACTGATTTATTTCTTTTCACTACTGTATAGCATTCCATTGTATGACTATATCACAGATTTTTAAAAAAATTGATTGTCCTACAGATATTTTGACTGTTTCCAGTTTTCTCCATTACAAACAATGCTACAATGTAAATTTTTGCATATGCCTCCTAGTGTACACCTAAAAGTTTCTGTAGGGTATGCACCTAGGAGTAAAATTGCTAGATTGTATGCTATGCACAGTTTCAACTTGATTAGCACTAGTTAAGTTGCTCTCTTAAGTAATTATTCCATTTTAATAATAAGAATACCAGGAAATACTTACATAGCATGTTATATTAACTCATCAATACTCACACTAATCTTTGCAAGGTAGGTTCTATCATCACCATTCCAATTTTACAGATGGCACCAAGACATTTTGTATCTTGCCCAAAGTCACACGGTTATTTAAGAGGCAGAGCAAGGACCAGTTTCAGGTCCTTCAGGAGCCATGAACAATGGCTCTAGACTCTGTGCTTTCAGACACAGTGCTATGTTGCCCCTCCCATCAGAAGTGTTTGAGGGTTCTTTTTGGTCTATATCATTGTCACACTTGTGTTTTCCAACTTTAAATTTGTTTTTGCCAATGTGAGGGGTACAAAATGGTAATTTTCTGTGGTTTAGATGTATATTTCTCTGATTACTATTGAAACATCTTAAAAAAAATTTTTTTTAGAAATGGGGTCTTGTTATGTTGCCCAGGCTGGATGGGAACTCCCAGGCTCAAGTGATCCTCCCACCTCAGTCCTGAGTAATTGGGACTACAGGTGTGTGACACCAAGTCTTGAACCATCTTTTCATGTGTAAAGGTGGCATTCAGATTTCCCATCTGTGAATTATCTGCTGTAAAAGATATCTTCAAAATGACCCTTAGACAGGTTGGTATAAAATATAGGAAAGCATAAAAATGTTAATAAATGCTGCTAACCAAAGAATGATTTTAAACTCCTGGCCAGGATAAGAGCAGTCTCTCCTATTTTTGTAAATCTACGATTCACTCCCCAACCCACTGCAATCTGGTTTATGCTTCTGCTACTGTATTTCCTTTTGAAGTGGAGCAGTTTAATGTGAACCAACCCTGTCTATTTATGTCAAGGCTTAGGGGACTCCATTTAGAAATATGCATATGGTAAACTTGGCATTTGCAATAATTACAGTATGTCTGACACTGTAGTAAGACTATGTCCTTGGGGAGCCTGAATTTCTAGCTGAAAATATACCTAAAATAGATTTAACCTGGATTGGATGTGAAGCAGTGGCAACAAACAATTCTTCAGGGATTGCTGAGCTTAGCTTAGTCTTTCAATCAGAAATTATATCTTGTTTGCCATGTATAAAACACTGGGGTTGGACCCAAGGTTTAGTATTAATAGCAGTAAATAAGATGCACAGGGCCCCTTGTTTTATGGAATTTATTTTCTTTCTTTCTTTCTTTCTTTCTTTCTTTCTTTCTTTCTTTCTTTCTTTCTTTCTTTCTTTCTCTTTCTTTCAACATTTCTTTTCTTTATTTTGACAGGATCTTGCTGTTTCCTGTACTAGAGTGCAGTGGTGTCATCATAGCTCACAGCAACCTCAAACTTCTGGGCTCAAGTGATCCTCTTGCCTCAGCCTCCAGAGTAGCTGGGACTACAGGCACATGGCACTATGACAGGCTAATTTTTAAATTTTTTGTAGAGATGGGGTCTCACTATGTTGCTAAGGCTGAGAATTTTCATTCTTGAGGAGACACACATTATAAAATTAACCCATGAATTATACAATTAATTGTTGGATTATAATTGAGATAATTGAAAGTGACCCACAGGGTTCTGAGAAAACATCTTGTTGGCTGCCCAGATCTAATATAGAGGGTAAGGAAAGTGTGGTGGACAGTCTTTGAGATGGCCCTCAGTGTTCTCTGCCTCATGGTATTCTTATCCTTATGTTATCCCCTCCTGTGAGTGTGGGCTGGACCTACTGACTAACAAATGGAATATGGCAAAAGTAATGGAATGGTAATTCCAAGATTAGGTTATAAAAGGACTGTGGTTTCTTTCTCAGATGTCATCTCTCACTTGCTTTCTCTGAGGAAGTCACCTACCATGTTGTGAACTGCCCTGTGGAGAGGCTTGTATGGCAAGGAATTGAGAGAGGCCTTGGGCCAACAGAGAGGAACTGAAGCTCTCAGTGTAATATATTATGAAAAACTGAATCCTGCCACCAACAACATGAGTAAGCTTAGAAGTGAATCTTCTCTCATTTGAGCCTCCTGATGAAATTGCAGACTTTTCTGATAGTTTGACTAAAACTTTATGAAAGACCAGGAGGCAGAAGCACTTAACTAGCCATACCAGAATTTATGACCCACAAACATTGTTATATGTTTTTTTTTTTTTGAGACAGAGTCTCGCTTTGTTGCCTAGGCTAGAGTGAGTGCCATGGCATCAGCCTAGCTCACAGCAACCTCAGTCTCCTGGGCTCAAGCAATCCTTCTGCCTCAACCGCCCGAGTAGCTGGGACTACAGGCATGCGCCACCATGCCCGGCTAATTTTTTTTTAATATATATATATTAGTTGGCCAATTAATTTCTTTCTATTTATAGTAGAGACGGGGTCTCGCTCTTGCTCAGGCTGGTTTCGAACTCCTGACCTCGAGCAATCCGCCCGCCTCGGCCTCCCAGAGAGCTAGGATTACAGGCGTGAGCCACCACGCCCGGCCTGTTTTTTTTTTTTTTAAACTACTACATTTGGGTAACTTGTCATGCAGCAGTAGATAACTAACACAAAAGACTTCTTTAAGGAAGTGGTTCTTAGATAGGGATGTAAGGTATGATGGGATTTACAAGGTAGAAGAGTTGGAAGGGAAGGAGGAATGTTCCAGGCAAAGACCCTAAAGCCAGAAAGTCAGGGACAGCTTGGCAACAATGCATTGAGAACAATGGCATGACACAAACTGTGAAAATGGAAAGTGTTTTGGAAAGTTCAGGAACAGAGCAGGAAGAGTGAGCACAAATCAGACAATAACAAAACATTTTCCTAGTCTCCTTGATGCTGCTATAGAAACTATAGGGTGGCATAGTGGAGAACACCATGATGGGAGCTAGATGACCCAGGTCCCAGTGCTAACCCTGTGATCTCAAACAATCACTTGGCCAGTTAGGTCCTCAGTTTTCTCATCTGTGAAATGGAATCTAAATCCTTTACAACTTCTCAGGCAAGAGTTATTAGTTATATGAAATCTGTATGAGGAAAACTATAAAACACTCCTGAAAAAAGCAAAAGTAGATTTGAACAGAAACAAAGACATTCCACATTATCGCATAAGATGACTCATTTTTATAAAGATTAATAGTGCCCCATAAATTAATCTATAAATTTAATGCAGTC